AACCAGAACCCCATGCTGGATCGCGAGCAGCCGCGAGGGTCCCAACTCTGTCCGCTCAGAGTCATAGACGAAAAGTATGTGCGCGGCGACACCGTAAGGGGCAGCCCAAGGGCGTCACCTGAGGGTACCTAAGCGCCCAGTGGGGGGCCCCAGGTCCCCCACACCGGTGGGGCAGCGGGGAAACGGGCAGTTGCCCTGACCCCCGCGCCCGTCCTTAAAACATACTGGGTGCCCAGCGCCCGGTCCACTCTACTCTACTCTACTCGGTGGCAAGTGTGCGGCAAGCAGCAGAGTGCTCAAAGCGGGTGAGGGTGAATTTCAATCACATGCAAGACTCTGCACATGACTTGATAACGGCGCAAGGTCGCACTGGGGCCGTGTGCACCGCTCCCGTCATCACATACTGCACAGCCTGCGGAAGCATGCTGATGTCATGCAGACACCGCTGCTTGGGATCACCGTATTATCTATTTCCCCTTATTATTAATATGCTCAGATGAACTCCTGGTGGTCACGCCGATTTTCGTTAAGTTCGGCGGCGCTCGGGTCACGACTATGAGTACCGCAATCGTGGCTGATGATGATGTGATCTGGGAGGCAGTGCATGCATACCAGCATCGGATCAATTGTGATACTCATTCAATACATCTACAGGGTTTGTAGACCTATCAAGCCCCTTCTTCCGCGTCAGTCAAAGCAATGGCCCCGCAGGTGAACAAATACGCGCGACTACATTAATTTGACGCTGTTGATTGCGTCTCAAAGGATTGAGCTTGACTACTTACGAACCACCATCCAACTGCTCTCGTGCTTGTAGCTGGCGGCCACCGCGGCAGCGCCCCCTGCGGCGGCGCCGCCGCCAGCGGAGAGCGGCAGCGGCCGCTTCTTCTATCCAGACGGCTCGACGTATGAGGGAGACTACCGCGTCGTCAACGTGCTGCCTGCGGCACCAGAGGGGCCGCGTAAAAGCAGCGCTAAGAAGAAGGAGGAGGAGGCCGCGGCGGCGCCTGCGGAGCCGCCGAAACGCGTGCGGCACGGCAACGGTGAGAGCCCTGCTGCAAGCTGTGGTCACTCAAAAGCACACCCACGCGCGTTGATAGTGCGCCCTGCACAGCCGCACCCAGTGGAGTGGCATGCCGATGGAAGTAGAAAAGATGCAGCGAGGTTGACCAGCTCTTGCCTTCTTGCCGCCCCCCCCCCCACCGCCCCAGGAACATACACCTGCGGCGCCTACAGCTACGCGGGGGACTGGCAGGAGGACGCCATGCAGGGGCAGGGGCGCTTCCAGTTTGCGAGCGGCGCTGTGTACATGGGGGCGTGGCTCGCGAACAAGTACGAGGGCTTTGGGCGATACACGTGGCCGGACGGGAAGCACTACGAGGTGGGCTGGCACGGGGGGAGTCGGAGGCGGTGGGGCGGGGGGCGGTCGGCACGAACCGCCCCATTTCTGCTGCCAGTGAGGCGTCCGCACCACCAGCAGCCGCACTGGCAGCTGCCACGGTGGGTGCACTGCTGCCAAACCCCTGCCCAAGCCATTGAGCGACACACAGCACGCGGACTGCGGCTGACTGTGCGGCTGCACGAATTTTTGGCTTGTTCCTGAGGTCACTGCCCGGCACGCCGGCGCGCTGCCCTTATCGCTGCACAGGGCGCGTGGGTGGGTGGCCGCATGCACGGCGAGGGCGCTTTTGTGGACGCAGAGGGGCGGCGGTGGTGTGGCCAGTTCATGAACGGCTCTGGCCCCGGCCTAACCTTCCAGCTGTGATAGCTTCATTGCGTGTAGCAGGGCTGCCGTCAGCCCTTTCAGCGACTGCAGTTGCTTGCGGCCGCGCGGCTCTGATTGCTGCATGGAATTGCGGCATGGCACCCCCGCACAACAACAAGGCGTAGACCTCGGGTGGGCGGGAAATGCGCACTGCCCTTGGTGTTCTCTGTCCGCGTTCACAAGTAACACCAGTAATGGAAAGGATGAATGTACGGAACCATCCATGTGTGTGTGTGTGTGTGTGTGTGTGTGTGTGTGTGTGTGTGTGTGTGTGTGTGTGTGTGTGTGTATGTGTAGCAGGATCGGCCGTGTGGAGAGTGCCTGCGGCAACAGCAAGCCTGCTGGTTGACCGTTGTGTGCAGACTGTAGGTACGTCGGCAGGCTGTACAAAGCACTCCCGTGTGCTGTTGTGGTCCAAATCGGGTGGCTGCTGGGGCAAATCTTTGCATCTTGGGCTCGCCACAGGTCAGCATGACACAAGGACACGGCGCGGCTGTGGCCGCTGCTGCACAGCCAGCAATGCGTGACACCGCGTGACAACAGGCGGGTCACCCTGTCTCATAAGCTCCAAATGCCAAGAAATGCTCATGTGCATTTGGGCCCCGGTGACACGGACGACACACGCCCACTTTGCGCCATAAGTTGATGCGTGCGTATTTATACATTGCTGCACGATCCGGACTGCGGCGTACGCTGAGCGCGGGGGCATTTAGTCAGGAGGTTGTACGTACTAGCGGGACGTGGGGCGGGCCTTTCAATGTGTTTCAGGACCACGCCAGGCCCACGACATACACACATATAGATATACGAACGCATCAACTTATGGCGCAGAGTGGGCGTGTGTCGTCCGTGTCACCGGGGCCCAAATGTACATGAACATTTCTCGGAGGCATTGGGCAGGCGGGAACCTGCTAGCCCAAAACGTTCCAGAAACGGTCTGCCGCGAACTCTACTTGTCACATAAATTTCTTCCTGTTGCGAACACATAGACATCCCGCCTACGAGACATATAAGCAAAGGTGGGCACAGTCAACTGGTGGTTGTCAGCTCATCAGCCCCGCGGCCCCACGACCTCGGCCAACCGAACGCCTGCGGGTGCTCTTGGCCAACAACTTGAGGATTGGCGTGTGTGACAGAGCCCACAATCACAAAAACACATGCGTTGCTGTGGCTGACACCTCCCCACGCCACCCCCCACTCCCACCGCTGCCCGTCAACAATGCAGACTAGAGTGACGCTGCCCAAGATGCTACGCCCAGCCCTCGCCCTGCTGCTGGTGGCGGCCCTGCTGCTCACGGCATCTGCCCGCGTTGCCCCCACCGAAGACAACTTCAAGGGCCGCCTGCTGCTGTCTGAGCCTTCCACCACCACCGCCGAGCCCGCCGCCACAACACCTGAATCCACGTCGATGTCGCCCACCGCTGAGTCGCTCGCCAAGCCGAAGCCCAAGCACTCCCCTAAAACGTCTCCGCACCCCAAGCCCAGGCACTCCCCCAAGCACTCCCCTACCGCGTCACCGCACCCCAAGCCCAGGCACTCCCCAAAGCACTCCCCAAAGCACTCCCCTACAGCGCCGGTGCTCACCAAGCCGAGGCCTGAGGACTCCCCCGCAACCGCCGCCGCCCCAGTCAAGGGCAACGAGGGCCGCCGCCTGCTGTAAACCATCCCTGTCGTCCTCGCGCCGCCGCAGGCTCACACGACAGCGCTTGGGGCCGTCCCTCGAGTTTACTTCACCCACCACATGCCTCTCAAAAACCCCCAGCACCACTGTGGCCGCCACCTGCGCGCCTCCTGGATGGGTGCGTTAGCACGATGCATGGATTGCCTGGGTTGCGGAGCGCTGAATAGGGGCCTGCGGGCGGGTTTCATGCACACTGCCAACCCCTTTGATGAGCAGCACCTGCTGGGAATGTCCTGGCTGTGAACGCGGTGCTGCGTGCGATTTGTACCCCAGCACAAGCGACCATGCAGCCACGCATCTTGGCCCGCGCGTGCGTGTTGTGCGCTGTGATTGTGCGCAAACCGTGTGTAAAAACTATTACAATTTGGCACACAGGCAGCTCTCAATTGCAGCGATCAAAGGCTGGCGAGGCAAAGGGCATGACGACAGGATCCATGAACATGGCTGCAAACACGGGGCATTAACGCAGCATTCCGCCGCGATGATGTTCGATACGCCACACGCCCGATGCTTAGGAGGCCCCCGCCCGCCTGACAGACAGCCTCCGCGCACACGCCCCCGCCTGCGCCGGCACCCGCGCCGCGGCCGTCACACGCCTTCCTCCTCGGCGTCGTCCGCGGCGTGCAGGCGGTCTATGGCGGCCTTGATGGCGGCCGCGTCCGCGCTGCTGGGCGCGAGGTCCAGGGCGCCGTTGAGGGCCGCGAGGGCGCTGTCGGGGTCCCCCAGGCGCTTGTGCACGCGGCCCAGAGTAAACAGCACGCTGGGCTCGCGCGGCACGATGCCCTTGGGGGGGGGCAGCAGTTTGCGGGAAATTGGGTGCAGTTGTCCAGGGGGCAAGAGAGCTGCAGAATTGATTGCTGGCGAACGCTGCCGGCTGTGCATTCACATGGCCATGCAAGCCGCCGCGCTGCTTGGCTGCCTTGCCGCGTGCCCCGGGGGCACCTGCGGCCCTGGAGAGAGGGCATCAGCGGGGGCCACGATCAATGCCACTCCCCATCACCCCATCTCCCCTGCCACAAACACACACAGAGCGCTTCGCCTCCGCTGCCGCCGCCACCAACAGGCAGGCCCTGGGACCTGGCCGCCCCCCCCCTCC